AACACCCCACATCTGAGTAAACATAACCTAAAAAAGTAAACATAACCCAAAAGAGCACCTGAGGTGACCCGTGCCAGCCTGAGCAGAATTTGGATCATGCCCAGGGTCACTGACACTAAGCTAGTGTGAGTGCTTAGGGATGGTTCAACAGCCTGGGCCTCAGAGATAGGAGTCTAGACCAGAGATCAACAGCCAACCTGCCTTTGTTTAGGACCGGGGACTAGGGAGTGATTTCCAAACCCTGAAGGTCTGATCCCTGATTCTAGACTTCCAGCCTCCAGAATGGTGAGGAAATGAATTCCTGTCATTTAGGCAGAAGGGGGACAAGGAGGCAGGAGGGCGGTGGTGGTCAAAGACTCATTGCTGACATGAAGGATGGTGAAAATTCTGTTCCTGCTGGCAACTGCACTCACGTGCTCCTGAAGCATCCCTCTTCTGACAGACAGACAGACAGACAGACAGACACAGACACACACACACACCCCTTTTCCTTTGCTCTGTTTGTTTTTAAGTGGGGCTGCTTCACTTACAATGTCTTCCTTTACCAACTGCATCCTAGTGGTTCAACAACTTCTCGTCCTGGGAGACAGAAAGCCCAGATCTCTGAGATTGCTGTCTGTGGAGACCCAGCCTTTGACATCTCTGCTCCATGGCTGGAGGCCCGGGAGACTGTTGACTGGACTTGAGTGCTTGTTTCCCTATGGGCAGCAGGGTTGGCCTTGCCCTGTGTGTTGTACACTTACTCATGAACATCACTGTTTTGGAATAATCCTTTTGTGCACTGTGTGGAGATGTGTCACTCGGACTGGCTTAATAAAAAGCTGAATGCCCAATAGCTAGGCAGGGTTTTCAGGGCAGAGAGAATACTGGGAAGAAGGAGGAGTCACCAGCCAAATGCAGAGGAAGCATGACATGTAGGAAATAAGGTAACAAGCAGGAGCCATGTGGTAGCATGTAAATTAATAGAAATGGATTAAGTTATAAGAGCTAGTTAGAAACAAGCCTAAGCTATTGACTGAGCTTTCATAATTAGTAATAATTCTCCATGTCATTATTGGGAAGGCAGCGGTCTTGTTGAAAACGTCCAATTACACATCACAGTTTCTGCTTACGAGCCTGTTGGACTGCTTCTGCTTCTAAGGAGGATTGGTTCCTGGGAAATCTGAGCAGCAACCCCAACAAGGCCATGACCTTCCCTCCAGCTGTGCCATCCCAGACCTAATCTCAGGGATCTTCCAGTCCCCTGGCTTGAGAGACCAGGGATCAGGGGACTTCGTGCCTGCCCTCCAAAGTTGTGAAACAGTTAAGTGTCTTAATGTTCTATTGCTGTGAGGAGACACCATGACCACGGCGACTCTTATAAAAGAAATAGTTTGGGGCTGGAGAGATGGCTCAGCGGTTAAGAGCACTGGCTGTTCTTCCAAAGGTCCTGAGTTCAATTCCCAGCAACCACATGGTGGCTCACAACCATCTATAATGAGGTCTGATGCCCTCTTCTAGCCTGAAGGCAAAACATGCAGGCAGAACACTGTATACATAATAAAGAAAGAAAGAAAGAAAGAAAGAAAGAAAGAAAGAAAGAAAGAAAGAAAGAAAGAAAGAAAGAAACAGTTTGACTGGGGGCTGGCTTACAGTTTCAAAGGTTTAGTTCATTATCTTGGTGGGGAGCATGGCAGCATGCAGGCAGACATGGTGCTGGGGGAAGTATCGGAGAGTTCTACATCCTGATTCACAGGCAGCAGGAAGAGAGAGAGAGGAGAGAGAGAGAGAGAGAGAGAGAGAGAGAGAGAGAGAGAGAGAGAGAGCCATTGGGATTGGCTTGGGCTTTTGAAACCTCCAAGTCCACCCCAGTGACACACTTCCTCCAACAAGGCCATGTCTCCTAATCCTTTCAAACAGTGCCACTTCCTGGTGACCAACTATTGAAATCTATGAGCCTATGGGGGCCATTTGCATTCAGGCTACCTTGCTGCCATGGCAATGGCCTCACCTGCTTATGGTACCTTTAGCGTATCTGCAGCTCTCTAGGGAAACCTGTGTGTGTGTGTGTGTGTGTGTGTGTGTGTGTGTGTGTGTGTGTGTGTTCACATATAAACCATAAATCAGCTAGTCATTAGTTAGTGCACATATATGAAATTCACTTTGTCTTTATTGACCACAGCAGTAAAATCAGAACACTTGAAGCAGAAAGGATGATCAGAGACGTGGTAGGCAAACCCACCCTGGGCCCCCACTGGCTGCTTCTCCCCTAACTTCCACCTTTGCCTCTTTTCTGCCCTCTGCATCTGCTTCCAGGCAGCTCCCGGCAAATGTGGTGGCAGCACACCTCCCTAGCACCCTTCCCTTTGCTAGTTCTCAGCCTCCAAATACTTCAAAATCCTTCCAGCAGTCACCATTGTCGTCAATAATTGTAGACGTGTGATTCAAGTACAAAAGTAGTGATTTTTAAAACTGAGTCATGCACAGGACTCTTAACAAAGGAAACCAGAGCGCTGGAGTTGATGCAAATTACTTTGCTTATCACATTAAACACGAACATTATTTGATATAAACACATATGACATCAACACCCCATAAAATTGTGTAAACTGCGAGCTTCAGCAGCTCTTATATAACTCTAAAACCCCAGTAAGTCTAGAAGTAATCAAACAAGGTCCCCACAAAACAGCCCAACCTGGTCAGCACCTTAATAAGAGCTGTTAGACTGTTTTCTGAATCTACACTCTGTGAAGACACCATCCTGAAGGGATGATGCCTGTCTTCACTGTGACCTCACTGGAGAATGACATCAGCGTGGTGTTTGTAAGTGAAGTAGTCTGCTCTATTCTTTAGAATTAACTGAATTAAAGAAGTGGGGGGCCGGATCTGGTGTCCAGGCTGATCTTGAATGAGGATCACCCAATCCTCCTGCCTTGGATTCCCAAGTATCTGGGGTGCCTGAATCACTGCCTGCTCTTTCTTAAAGATCAGTACTATGTGGTCCCGATGTCTCCAGAAGTAGTTTGTGAGATGTTTTGCAAGTGATGTGAACATGTTCACATTGGTCTTTAAGATTGTCATTGGACTCAAACTGAAATTGTCACGGAGACTATGTGTGGTGTTCTCAGGTGTTTGTAGACCGAAGTCTGTGAAACGTGTGTATTTTTCTGCCTTTCCCTATGGGGACTGTTTTGGCTCTTCCTGCCGGGCCTGTCCCTAGTTACTCTAAACACCCTAGGGAGCCGAAGTCCTCTAAGGAACACATACCTGTTTTTGTTTTGCATTTCCTGGGTGGGGCTGGGCCCACACACAATGCCCAAGTGGACCCCAAACACAAAAGGGCCTGCTCAAGGGTAGCTCCTGATCAGCATGCAGCTTGTCTGTGGCTATCCCCAGAGTTGCTTGGGGGTGGTGAGGGAGGGGCCTCAGTTCCCCAACTGCTCCTGACTGGGATACTGGTTGCTCACGGTGACTCCACCTGAGATTAAAAAAAAAAAAAAAATTAGCTGTTCAGTCCTTGGAAGAAACTAGCAACTCAAAGGACAGGCATAGCAACTGAATGTGACAGGAAATAGGATTTCAGAAATGCCACAAGAGTCCCCATACTTCCTCCAAGTCTCAGTCCCCAACTGATGTCTGGGCCACAGGTAGGAACCAAGACTGATGACTCCGGGCAGGGGTCCAGTAGCTGCTTATGCCATACCTGCCTCAGGCGAGACTCTGTACTTCCGGGTTCAATTCTCACTGGTGAAGACCTCATGGAGGAGAAAGGGACACAAGACCCTACAACCGTGAACCCAGCAACCTTCTTTGTGACTATGCAGCCATGGGTGCTGTGGGATGATCCTTCTGTATGCTGTGAATATGTATTACCCTCACTGGTTAATAACCAAGCTGTCTGGCTAATAGCAAGGCAGGATAAAGTTAGGTGGGACAATCAAACTGAGGACTGGGATGAAAGAGAGTGGAGTTGAATGAGATGATCGAGCTGCCCAAAAAGCAAGATGTCAGAGGACTGGTAGAGCCACAGACCGTGTGGCAATCCATAGATAAATAGAAACGGGTTCATTTAGATGGAAGAGCTAGTTTGCAATAAGCCTGAGCTATCGGCTGAGCATTTTATAATTAATATAAGCCTTTGTATAGTTTATCTGGGCCTGGGCAGTAGGGACAGAAAAACTCTGCTTCTGTGTACACATGGGCAGATTGTCCTGATGAAGCACATCCCTTTAGAGGCCCCTACATGGCTTTTAGGGGAAAGGAGTAGGCAGCTGAGGTAAACAAGATGATCTTTGAGGTCATGAGAAGGAAAGACTAATCCATCTGTGAGGACTAGTGTTTCAGTGCAGAGCTGAGAAAGCCCTGCACCCTGGAGCTCTAGATTGTCACACAGTGCAAGGCTCTGGGGAAGAGGGCACCATGTATGTGTGCATGGCTGGGTAAGCAAACTACAGCTGAAATGTCCTCACCGAAGGGGATTTCAAGATTTAGTTATCTACTTTTAAATGAACCAACTCTCTTAGCTGGGTGGTGGTGGTGTATACTTTTAATCCCAGCACTCAGGAGGCAGAAGCAGGAGGATCTCTGAGTTTTAGCTCTAGTCTACGTGGTGAATTCCAGGACAGCCAGGGCTACACGGAGTAACCCTACCTGGAAAAAAAACAAAAACAAAAAATGAAAACAAAACAAAACACCGAACAAATAAAACACTGTTGAAACGAAGCTTGGACTAAAGATAACACTAATACAGAAACTGCAGTGTGGGGCCCCAAATGGCAGGCAGTAAAAACTCTTTTAATCAGCAGGTGATGGTGAGGATTTGGTCAAAACTGAAATAATTCAAGACCACTGAAATATGGTTTCACACCTGTAAAATGTGGGGCGAAAGGGTGTCAGAATAAAAATGGAGTCATGTAAGCCAACCCTAACAAAAAAAAGCTGGAAGGCTATAAAGTGAGGGTTAAAAATGTGCTCTCAGAGATGAACAAGGTGTTGAAAAGTGTTCTTCTTTGTCTCAACAGTCAACCGGAGGCTTGTTTCACTTCTGACCACTGGACAGGAGGTGAGCATTTATGTGTTTTAAAAACAAGCTCCTAAGAGATGCTTTGGCTGTCTGGGAATGGCCACAGTCTGAATGGACGGAAGAGACACAGGTGGAGCGCAGAGGCGGAATATCCACTGTCTCAAAGGAAAAGGCCAGGGTCCAGCTTCAATTCACGTTAGAGGCAGACACCTTGGCCTTGAATGTGGCCGTGACACAGTCTGTAGAAAGGGTAGAATTATAATAGAAGTGCTATGACTGACTCTGAGCAGGGCTGGTGGGAGCAGTGGTGAAGAGCCTACCTACTGGCCTAACAACCACTGGACTGTGTGACCCTGAGACATCTGAGGGCATCCTCTATGTGGCCCCTCTATGTGGCCCCTCGATATTTCTGGGTTGATTTTCTTTTTATCTTTGCAGTGCTAAGTAGTATCTTCAGCCCTATTTATTTTGGGTGTTTTGAGACAGAGTCTGAGTCTTACTTTGTAGCCCAGACTGGCCTAGAATCCATCCTGCTGTCTTTTCTTTTTTCTCTTGGTGGGGGGAGCGGGTGGCAGGGGGTGGGGATGGGCCGCAGATTTATTTTGACCCACTCAGTCTTAAGATAATTTGCAACATAAAAACAAAAGTACGGGGGTTGGGGATTTAGCTCAGCAGTAGAGCGCTTGCCTAGCAATCGCAAGGTTCGGTCCTCAACTCCGGAAGAAAACAAAACAAAAAAAAACACCAAAAGTCCAAAACCATATGACCTCTGATCCTTGTGTTGCCTTCTTGGGACGGAAAGGCTCAGTGCAGGCCTGTTCTTGTGGAGGAGCTGGGGGTTGCCACTGAGAAAGCAGGGTGTGAGGGGAGCATGGGCAAGTGGATGGTGGGGAGATCTGCGAGGCCACTGTGGGGCAGGCTCCCTCTACACTGCTTGTCAGGGCTTCAATCAAACATCCTATCCCAAGGTCAGGAGACAGAGGCTGAGCCAGAAGGTGGTTTGGATAAGCACGTGGATGGGAAGAAGGCATGTGTCGGCAGGAAGACAGACCCTTTCCATCTCTGCCACAAACCACCTTTTACAGGAGGCTCTTGAGAACCAGGGGAGTCATACAACATGGGATGCAGGCACAGTGGAAGGATGCCCAGCTCCGACAAGGCACTGAGATGGTCAGCATCTCATGCTCAAAGCACATCCATGTTCACCCTGGCTACTTCTGAAGGGCCTCCTGGGGTGTCAGGCGTTTGTACCTTTTTGCATTGACTTCTGATGAAAAAAAATACCAGAATTACAGACCTTGCCTGTAGGCTATAGAGAGCGGGGACGATTGCAAGCAGCTTCTTCCTGGGCCCAGCATAGCCACATCTGGGGCTCTGTTAGAGACCGACTCCGGACAGCTGTGTCTTGAATTTTGTGTGACCTTCCTTGCCGTATCAAACCTTACGAAAGCAGGAAGTTCCTGGCCTAACCTCGGGCTGTACAACTTCCTGTAGTACGTGCTAATCAGTTAGCTGCAGGGGCCTGGGACCAAAGCGAGCTCACCCTTCCTCAGGAATTTTTCATTCTTCTCTCTCTGCTCCCCCTCCCTGCCTGAAGCCCTGCTTATAAACCTCAATACCCAGTCAATAAACGAGACCTTGACGCGACTCAGACTGACTCTGTCTTCCTTTATGGCGCCTGGTCTCCTTTCTCTCTCGCCCCCATTGATCTTTCAGGAGGTGCCTCCTCGGGTCTCCCCAATAACCTGGCCCGCGGGATGGGTCAAGTGGCGCCCGAACGTGGGGCTTGAGGCACGGTGACCTGCCGGACGACGGACAACAGAAGGGGCCCCCGGAGAGGATCAGGGTAGAGACGCCCGGACCGCATCACTCGTGCAACGCGGGAGAGTCTTGAGGTAAGTATGTCGTCCCATCGATCATGGGCAAAAATTTATCTAAAGAGGCTGTTTTTCTCAAGGAGATGAAAGGTAATCTTAGGGAGAGAGGAATGAGAGTTAAGAAAAAGGATTTGAGGCCAGGCGGTGGTGGCGCACGCCTTTAATCCCAGCACTCGGGAGGCAGAGCCAGGCGGATCTTTGTGAGTTTGAGGCCAGCCTGGGCTACCAAGTGAGTTCCAGGAAAGGTGCAAAGCTACACAGAGAAACCCTGTCTCGAAAAACCCAAAAAAAAAAAAAAAAAAAAAAAAGAGAAAGAGAAAAAGGATTTGATAAAATTCTTCCAATATGTGGAGGAGAAATGTCCCTGGTTAGTGATTAATGGCCCAGGAATTCACCCTTTGACTTGGAACAAGGTTGGAAAAGATATTAACAAATTAATCAGAGACGGGAAAATGTCCCCGACGCCTTTTTTAGTTTTTATGGTGTGATTAGAGATGTTCTAAAGGAAGCGGAGGGAGATGGGCATGTTGCACATTTACTAGCCCTTGCAGAGGATTTTCTCTCAAACTCCCCATGCCTGACACCCAAGGGTCCAGAGGTTTATTGACATCTACCGGTATGAGCGCTCTCTGTCTTGTCTGTGTCTCTCTGTCTTGTTACTTTTGTTTTGTACTTTGCAGGCTTGGTTTGTACTTTGCAGGCTCTCACTGGGACAGACGTGTCCGGACAGTGAACCTGCGGCGAAGGGAGACGTCCCAGAGCCCTAAGGCCACCTCAGAGGTGACCATTTGGTTTAGGAGCATCTTTGGGTATCTTCCCCCACAGTGGGAGGAAGTGCCACTTTGTATTTTGTCCCGGGAAATTGTCAGAGTCATTTTGTGTTTTTTTTGTATGTTTTGTTGTGATCATTGTTACTTTACTCTCTCCTTCTCTTCCAAGAAAAAAAAAAAGTGCATTCTGACTGACAGGGATGTGGAAGCCCCTGATGAATGTTTGATTAAGGACAGAGATCCTCAAGTCTGGATTGTTTTTGATATGATTGAGCCTGGAGGGTTACACCCCGCCAGAGCACATCAGGCTGTCATTGTTCTTGGAGCTTTGTTAGTTGTTTTGTTGGGGCAAAGTTTTTTCATGTGCCCTTGGTCTTGTGTGTAATGTATTAACTGTTCTCATTGTTGACTTGACTGTGACGGACGCTATGGGACAGTTCCCTTCTTCTCCACTAGACCTTTGCCTAGCCCACTGGAAGGATGTTTGAGCCACAATAGAGGGAACTGGGTCCCCCACCCCCACTCCCCGATTGAACTGAGATAAACAGGTAGCTCCTGCCAGGTGGGGCTTGCATACTGCAAGAGGGGCTTGCTGGCTGTGAATGAGGCCGTCGTCTCAGTGCTGATGTTCGTCTCAGTGCTGATGTTCCGGTTCTTGGATTGTCTGTGTAAATGTTATTTGTTTCTGTCTACTAACCTCCCTTATTTTCCTAGAGAAAGAGGAGGAAAGAGAGGCATAACTAAGGCCACCTCCGTCCCTCCCTAGCTCTCTTGCTATCAGGACTGCAGCCAGCTGGCTGCTCTCGAGAGGGTGGGTGTGCATGCTCTCCATACAGGCGGGCAAAGACAGGAACTCTGGACAGGTCAATGGGGACTGCCTGCAATTGACAAAAAACTGTGTGAACACTGAGCAGAGAATCTGACTTTAGTCAGAGGAGTTAACAAAAACTTTTTTTCAGGAACACTGGCAGCCAAGGACATGCTCTATGCCCACTGCTCCCCTTCCCTTCCTTTACTGTGATAACTTCAAGGTCTCTTCTGCCGGCCAGTCACTTCTCTTGTTAACCCTTCTCTGTCCTGGTATTGCTTAAAAAGAAATGTTAAATTACCAGTTCAAGATACTGGGAAAATTATGCTTTTGTTTCCACAGGAAAAATAAAAATTAACATGGGTTTTGGTCATTTGAGTTCAATGGGTTACAAATACTTGCCATCATTTAAGAGAATTGGTTTCAAATTATTGTTGGCTAAAAAAAAAAAAATGTTTTAAAAAAATATGTAAAATGCAAGTTATTAGAATACGTAAAAGCAAGGTATAAAGGTCTGAGGATAAAAAGGCTTAAATAATGATTTAAAAAAATGACTTGAGATATATAAAAAAAATGAAACGTGTTTCAGATTTCTTCGTCTTGCTATTCTGCTGTTACATTGAGACTCCAAAGGGTCATAGTTGTAAAAATGTCTGTCTACTCTACAGGTATGAATGAAAAATGTGGCCACATGTATGTTTGGTTTTGAATGTCTGAGTTTGCATGTCCTTTATGTTAAGGAATACAAGTTAATACTAGTCATCTGGCTATTCAGATACTAGTTTAAAGCATAAACTGTTCTATTTTAATAAAAAAAAAACTGAGAGGTATATTTAACTAATATATCTATAGGTGAACAAATTGGCCTGGTTATTGTTACCAAACTTAGAGATATTTTCAAGATTGGACCTAGATTTGTTTGGCTCAGATACATTTAATAGATAATGGTCCTCAAACCTGTCAAGATCTGTTGAATATGGCATTTACATTACAAGAAGATGCCACCTGAATTGTGGACAACACCAACCACTGGGCAAGACGCTCTGACTCAACACCTGCTGCCAGGGATTTGGCCTATGAGACCTGACAAGATAAGGTCAGTTTTTACCAAGTTGCTCCTCCACAGGGAGAATTTCACATTATGGGCCCAGCAGCCAAGACTGATGCTGTCCTGACACCTGTCCTGCCAACACTATGAAGACTATAGGAGTCTGGGATGATGACAGTCTGGGTAGTGGATAGTCTATGTTGTTTTTTTAAAATAGATTTAAAAGTCTGCACTCAGGTAAAGTTTATCCTTCTCAGATCTTTGATGACATTGATGACTGGACTAGCTATAGCTTTCTCAGCTTAGTAATTGATTGATCAAATGGATTAATTAATTAAAGCTAATAAGTCTCTTTAAAAAAAAAGATAAACAGGTTCTAAATATAGACTTACAGATGCTTTTCATTGGGCCAAGGAAATTTCAGTCCAGTCTATACTTGGGTCTCTGGATAGAAAAGACACTATGGATTTCAGGGCAAATTGATAATACTACAATTACTAAGACAATGGGTCTAAAAGTTCCAAATAAATTTGTAAGTTTTAACTCCTGTTCCTAGTTTATATGTATCTCAACAGGTTTCCACTTGGCTGACAGATACATCCTAGCATCATTTGCTGGTGACAACCTACTGCAAATGACTGTGAGCCCTGAACTTGCTGAAAGCTGATATGGACCAATTCAGCCGATATGCATACCATCTCTTCAGCTGGTCAATAAAACGTTCCCTCTTGTCTTTGACTAACATTCTGGCTTTCCAGGGCCTTGACAACAACGTCCCAATGTCAGCAGGAAGTAATTACAGAAGAGAAAACATCGCCCTTGTTTCCCGCCCCCCCAGAATGTTAGATCAAAAGGGAATTTCTTGTCATAGGGAACCTGAGATAAAGTTCCAAGTTCCTTGAGGATAAGGAACTCTGTCAGCCATCATAAGGTTTTTGGCCCTTGTGCTTCTGCTAATTATTATTGGCTCTTATATCACTGATGTCTTAACTAAATGATAATTCATGTCTGGGTACCACTAAACTGAGGATGCTAGAATTCCAATATCCACCTCTGAACCCATGACACACTTTCAGATGGCAAAAACTGAATAAGGGGAAGCT